GCCCCGAGGAGGGCACTGAGCCTCCCCCTGGACAAGAGCGCTCGTTGCACACGCGCCCCATTTTCCAGACAATTAGTGTGCGGCTCCGCTTCTGGGCACCCCTGGAGAGGAAGCCACACGAACGTGGTTTCAGTTCGCCCCAAAGCCAGCGTCGGCCACGGAGAGTTCCCCCTTTCGAACGATGTCATTCGTTAGGGTGACTTCTCTGTCGAGGCGGTTTTCCGGTCTCCCCGGCGTGGGAAGGAGAGTAAACGCACGCAGCCGTGTGCCCATGTCCGGCGGGTGTGCGGTGAACAGCCGTGGCTCACTGTGCCTTTTGCTGTTGCTCGGGATCCCCTTGCAGCCCCTCCGCGGGCTTCCTAACCGCCTTCTAGCCGCAGCTCTGACGGGCCTCGGCGGCGGCGGACAAGAAGTCTCGCATAGAAAGATTCCTTTCAGTTTCCAAATGGCCTCTCAATGCCCGCGATGGAAAAGGCGCTTTATGTATGGGAGACAGACCCCCTCGGCTTTCGGCTTTCGGCTCCCAGAACCGGCCAGCAGCTCGGGGCTGGCGGTGCGGTGCGCGCGGGGAGGGTGCCCTCCGGCCCTACCCCCCTGGAGCGTGACCTCTGTCAGGAACAGGTCATCTGCTAACTCTCCGAGGCGAGCCGGCCTTTAGGAAACTTCACATCCACCCCGAGACACGTGGGCGTGTGGGGATCTGGGAAGGGGCAGGGACGCGGCTGGCAGGCAACAGCCTGGGGGGAACCCTTGTGCGCCCCCCTCCTTCTTCCCAGGGGCCGGTGCTGAGCTGAGGCTCAGTGATACCGACCTACAGCACCTTGACTATTTCAAAGGGCGACATTCTGTTTGCTGTCTATGTGACCTGTAATACATGACATACATAGAGCCCATCTGTAGTGTCCGTTACTTAACCTAATATGTATTATATGGTTTCATCATATGGAGTAGTTAACGTGTATTTAACAGCTAGTTCCTCTATTACATTAGCATTATATTACGTATTTAACGTATTGTATGTTGTATATAGTTCTGTGTATATATTTCCATATATTTCATTTTTTATATGTGTGTGTAAAAATATTTGGGGCGCCTTTAATCTCCCTGCAAGCGCATACTTGATCGTTTGAACGCAACGTTATAAACTCCTAATCGAAACCACTGTCACATCGGCGATGTCTTTAGAACAAATACCCCGGAGTCCACTTTCGGCACCAGGGGAAGGCGGGGGGCGGTCACTGGGCGGAAAGGGACAGCAGGTCCCCCTGAAACCTGGTTTCCAAATGCCTGCTCTCCGGGGACAGAGGAGACCGCGCTCCGCTGCGGGCCGGCGCCGCCTCCCCTCCTCGGCGCGGTGCTGGTTGTTTTGGTTTGGAGAGCGGCTGTTTAGAGCCTGGGACGGTCCCGAAACGGGTGCCATGAATTAAAAATGAATCTGGGAGCGCAGCATATGCTCCGCCGGGGCGTCTGGGAGAGCAGCGAGGCCTTTCGCCCCGCGTTCTGGGCTGCAGACGCCGCGCTGGCGGGC